TTGGCGCCGCTTTATGATAATGAAACCAACCAGCAAAAGCATTAACGCTGCAGACCAAATGCCCCAATTGCTGTACAATAGAGTTGTAATTCACTAGTTATTCCAGATGCTCGCCAAATCTGAAAAAAACCAGAGGTTATTTGGATTCCTCGGAAACCCCCGCCTACGTCACCATTTAATATTTCTTGGCCCACGTATTGGCCAAACCACCTGAGCACTAGGCCCAATGTAGGTTGGATCACTTAGCCACACTTCATAATTATAAAAACGAGAACCGTGGAAATACATGCCGCTCAACCAAAGAAAGATGATGGAGAGATGACCAGGAAATGTGCACTAAATACTTTTCGAGAGATCTCCTCCAAATCAATGGTATGGCTATCGAAATCGTGAGCATCAGCATGTAGGTTCCAGATCAAGTGGTGAGTATCAGGCCCAGCTATTGTTCTTGAGAAATGACCCGGTCACAGCCCATTCCTCGAAAGAAGTTTTTACGGATCCCTATCTACCAAAATTTTAACTTCTGGTTCCGGCTTGAACGAATAATCATTGAGTCCTCCTCTTTCGGACAACACATATACAAAGAGACCCACCAACAGTCAAATAATTAGTGAACCTTGAATAGAGAGATTTCTATAATTAGTTCGTTTCTACTTCGATTTTCTATCTCCCATCTATCGATTTTCTTTAGTTATTTACTAGAGCAATTATGATCTGGAAGTCGATCCGGGGCAAGTGTTCGGATCTATTATGACAGAGCCTTGAGGCGCTCAACGGACCTTTTAACCTTTTAAAAACTTTTTGGACTTTGGATTGATCCAAAAACGACTTTTTTGTGCACCCTAGTGTATATTCATAGAAGTTATTAGATGGAGCTCTTTAATTTTTACCTAGAAGATTTTAATTACTCTATTCCAAATCACGCGAGTAGCCATTAGACATTACTAAGAACTGTCCCCGGTATATATATTTAGTGATTCGAGCTTTTCTTTTATTAGTTTTAATAATAAGAATTTTGTTTAATTTAATATATAAATATAATAAAAAGAAGTCTATTTTGTACTCTATCTGTGTATCCTTTTTATTCCTAAAAAATTGCAGATGAAATAAAGTGAAATAAAGGCTTAGAAGAGGAGATAATGAAATTATGTGATTGGGTCTTCCAAAGCAAAGGAATGATCCGTTTTTAGTTAACTGATCTGATCGATCAACAAGCAATTAATTATAACAAATATCTAAATTCTAATAAAATAATAGACTAGATTCTATTCTAAATAAAGGATAATAAATAAACGGGGTCTTCTTTTATTCGAAACGTCTCGTGATCTTCAACCAATTATGCGCTTCAATATAATTACCGGGGAGTAAGCGCTATAGCCTGTTTCAATACTCAGCGGCAGTCGAACTGGCCTCTGTAATTTCAGAATCTCCCTGTTGAATGGCCTGTTCTCCCCGGCCGGAATAGGTAGTTCAATTCCTTCCCTTAGAACCGTACTTGAGAATTTCTTACCTCATACGGCTCAGCAGTTGCATTCTTTTGGTGTCCCATTTTTGATCTATACCATATCTAAGAAAATCTACTAAGATTTCTCTTGGATCTATCCAAGTTTTAGGGTTAACCAAAGAAAAATAGGTTAATTACATGAGTTTCAAACTGAAATTTGGAGGAATAATCCGTTTATTTAGTTTTTATCTTTTTCCACCTTCAAAACTAAAAGCATGACAGCTCTACTAGTGTTCGAATTTTATGAAGGTAACTATCTCGGTTTCATAGATAAATTTATATAGAATCTTTAAGAAAAGACTTTCTTTCATAAGAAAGAAAATACTTAATTCTTTAGGTCTGATCCTACACCGCTGCTCAAGACTTTTGTGGATCATTCTGTACATAAGTTAATTCCTAATTTTTATCTCACATGATGAGATAAGATGATGATTATTATTATATCGGCCCAAAACCTCGCTAATTAGTCTTTGCGGTGCTTCCTCTATCTCATCAATTAAAGCCTTATATCCCTATCCATAGAAAAAGTTGCTAGGCATTTTTATTTTTCCTATTTTGCCTTCTATGAAGTTTCTTTCTTTGCTACAGCTGATAAAAATCGTTGTTTTAGACGATGCATATGTAGAAAGCCTATTTGGTTCTAGTAGTTACTTTAGATTTTCTTTTTTTTTTTTTTTTTTCTATAGTGGAGATAGTCGCACATGTTGTGACAGATCACTGCCATATTATTAAAAGCTTGTTGTAAGAATGGGTTTCGTTCTAGTGCTCGAAAATAATATTCCAAAGCTTTCGTATGTTCTCCATTACTTATTGGATAAGCCCTATATTATAAGTATATAACTTCGATCATAGGGATCAATTTCCTAGTCGCATAGCTTCATAATAATTCTGCAAAGCTTCCACGTAATTTCTCTTCGGATTGAGCCGACATCCGTTACGGTCGTCATTCAGTGAAGAGATCTCGTTCCAGAACCGTACGTGAGATTTTCACCTCATACAGCTCCTCATATGTGGCATAATGAGAATATTACATAGAATCCAAAAGATTCAACGATGAAAATATTCTCATTATGAACTCAACAGGAGCTGAATGTTTTTACAAGAAATCTCTAGCCAACCTTTGCAGAGATTCTTTCTTAACATCAAGCCTAGTGGGACTGAATGAAATGATAAGATAACTCCAGCAATTTCTTTGTTTTTAACTCCCTAATTTCAGGAATTAGTCACTTCAATAGCCTTCGGTAGTTTATACGGGTATCAAAGGACGAACGAGATGGATGTTTGTTGTCCCAACCATTCTTTTAGTCCCAAGCCCGCTAAGGAAAGGGCTGACTTAGAACAAAGTTTTCGTGTTGTTGATTCCTAGGTGTAGCGCTTCTTCCCTTATGCTGCCTGTTAGGGCTAGTAGAGTAGGATTGACCCGTAATACAGAACCTCTAGGCGTAACCTTTCGCTTAATACTAGAATCGAGAATTGAAACATAGCATCTGAGGTTGCATTAATCGAGGATACACGACAGAAGGAATTGTTCTATTTCCAAACTTCACCTTCAAAAAAGCGTAGATTTTTCACAAATTTTCTCGAATCACGTGTTTTTCTCCTCGTCAGACTGAGAGAAATGATAATATATGAAATAAAAAAAAAGAATCAAATCGCACCATCTCTGTAATCGGTGATGCCTCTTTTTTCTCCTGAAGTTGTCGGAATTACTCGTATCAAGATGTTGTTACAATTGAAAAGATCATGATCAATAAAATTTGTTTCTCATTTGATCAGGCGCTGATGCAGTGTTCGGTTGTGTATATTTTATATGTTGAGGAAAAGATGATACAAAGAAAATTATATGTGCAGTAACATAACTTTTCTTTTTAAGAAAAAAACAAGAATATGAATCCTCTATTTAGTGAACTTGCTGGCGAATCAGTAAGAAATAGAAATATTTTCAGGGTGATTCATTCATGCTTTCCTTAATGTGTGTGTAGGAACTATTTAATTTTGGTGAGGTGCAAATTGAAGAACTCAGAAATTTTGGAGTTGCAGATCGTGATACAAATTACAAGAAAAGATCGAACCATATTAGATATGGTGAAATATTCTTGCAATTTTGTGTGCATATGGTATACGCTGAAAATCAATCTAAATTTTTTTATGAATTTCTATAAAAAATTTGAAAAATTTTCAGTTAAAATGGATTGAGGTCGTACCCTGTCAATAATGAATATGGATTACATGACCGACCGCTATTCACTCGGTTTGAGGTCATGTAATCATGTAGGGAAGAATGGCAAAGTGGTTCAGGCATGTGGAGACTACCTGTATGAGCTTTGTTTGAGTTCGATACCTCTCTTAGTACCTTTCTAGCTTTAATTCGCCATTTAACAGCAAGACTCAAAATAGCAGTGGATTGCCATTGTTAACAATGTTCCCATATTCAAGCCTTCTTACGGTCAAGATATAAGTTCTCCATTCCTGTTTGCTGACAGATAGGAGATCCACAAAATAATCCTTAATCAAAATACGGAAAGAAAAATTTTCAGAACACCGGTTTGTCTGAGGTTTAGTCTGACGAGAATAATATTCTATGACCAACAATTCATTTATTTTTAAACAGACCCCATTTATATCTTATTTGATTAATAATCACTATATTGATTGGGTGAAAGATTAAATAATTTGGCCATTCCTCATGAGATGAATCAGAGAAATTTGATCAAGCTCTGATTTTGTTCATCTTTGTAATAATAATATCATCTCAGAGTTTGTGATAACTCGGTATATCTACCCTTGACCATTAACTAAAATATGGCGATGACGATTGCTAAGTGACAGGCAGGAATGGTTGAACCACTTACCCGTGGATGTTATCCATGCATTTTCAAGTATTGTAGTAAGCTTGACCTGTTGACCTGGCTTTCATGGCGATTTACAGCATGTTAAAATGGGTGTAATTCTGTACGATTTATAATGAAGCTTCATTTTTGTTTCTTCCAGACAGGCGATATTGGTTTTCCAGTTTGATTGTTTCTAAAATCCTTGGTCCTAACTTTTTTTTATAGTTGGTCATGGTAAAAGCCCAAACGTATTTTTAGAACAGGTCTCAGTAGCAGCATAAGAAACTCCTTAATTCTGTATTTGTATTTGTGTTTTCAAATTGATTCTTATTTCTATTTATTTTATTTTTATGTGAATTTTATTTTACAGAATAAACCTAAACTAAAACTAAACTGAACTAAATGAAGCGAAGTTTACTGAAATAGTGTACTTGTACTATTACTATAAATACTATAAAGAAAATACTATAAAGAAGAATGGGATGAATTGGATAAATATACCAGAACCCTTGTTATTATATATATAATCCTTTCCTGACATAATTGGAGTTCTATAATAAATTGATAGCTTTTGGAAAGGAGGAAGGCGCTATTTGAATATTCTTTGATTTCAAAGGAACATTATCAATCATCTAAAATATGGAATAAAAAAAAGAATAGGGAAAAGCCGGCTATCGGAATCGAACCGATGACCATCGCATTACAAATGCGATGCTCTAACCTCTGTGAAATAAAGCAGGCCCACATCACAGAAATCTTATATGCATAGTAATTCACTAAACTACTGGAATTGGAATCTTAGTTATTAACTATTCAATATTATATTGAATATTCTAGAACATAAGGATTAATATAGCGATATAGAATTTCGATTTATCACAATTCTAATAATAATTCTAATACTAATATTATTAAATAGTGATTGTAAATATTGTTAATATTCTTTGATTTTAATTTTCAATTTGAATGGTAAATATTCTTTTTCATTTCTTTTTTGGCATTTGAAATACTTTTTATTACAGTTCTATATTGGATTCTATTCTATATTTGATTCTATATCATATATCTCTCTCATTCTATATTTATTTCAAATTCTAATTGTTTTATTAGATGATTTAGTTATAACTAATGAGACATTCCTCCGCTTTCAGGCAGAAAGTGAAGATAAAAGAATCGATCGTTTAAGTATTCCAAATTGAATGGAAAAATGCCAGGAAGAGAGACATATAGATGGGGTATATATCCATCTATATTGAATTGCAGATTTAAATGATAAAATATTTTGATTGGACAAAAAAGGTCTCCTAGAAGATAGTTAAGAAAATCAAAGGAGAAAAACGTTTTCGAGATAGGAATCGGTATCTAATGAATTCAATGGTTCCAGTATAAATGAAAGAAAAAGAAAAGGAATGACATCACAACGAGATCCTAATCTCAAAACAAAAGAAAGGGGATATGGCAGGAATTGGTAGACGCTACGGACTTAGTGGATTGGTAGCGGTATGAAACTTACTAAATTAGTCACTTTCAAATTCAGAGGAAACCCTGGAATTAACAAAAATGGGCAATCCTGAGCCAAATCCTGTTTTCTGAGAACAAACAAAGGTTCAGAAAAAAAGGATAGGTGCAGAGACTCAATGGAAGCTATTCTGACAAATGGAGTTAATCGTTGGTAGAGGAATCTTTGTCGAAACTTCCCAGAAGAAAAGAATGGTGACGGATAAACGTATATACATACGTATTGAATACTATATCAAATGATTAATGACGACCCGAATCCGTATTTTTCTATAAAAAATGATGAATTGGTGTGACTCGATTCTACATTGAAGAAAGAATCGAATATTCATTGATCAAATCATTCACTCCACGGTCTGATGTATCTTTTTTTTTTGAAGAACTAATTAATCGGACGAGAATAAAGATAGAGTCCCGTTCTACCACATGTCAATACCGGCAACAATGAAATTTATAGTAAGGAAAATCCGTCGACTTTAAAAATCATTGAGGGTTCAAGTCCCTCTATCCCCAAAAAGACTATTTCACTCCCCAACTATTTATCCGACCCCACCCTTAGCGGTTCAAAATTCCTTATCTTTCTCATTCACTCTATTCTTTGAGAAATGGATTTTAGCGTAAATGGCATTCTCTTATCACAAGTCTTGTGATATATGATACACATAGAAATGAACATCTTTGAGCAAGGAATCCCTAGTTGAATGATTCCCGATCAATACAATATCATTACTCATACTGAAACTTACAAAGTCATCTTTTTGAAGATCGAAGAAATTCCCCGGCTTTGATAAAATTTTTTAATCGACTTTTGTACTTTTGCCCGACAAGTTCTATAACCATTATACTAATAATGAGGATACCGCATTCATTGGGAATAGCCGGGATAACTCAGAGGACTGAAAATCCTCGTGTTACCACTCCAAATCTGGATTGAAACAGCCCAGCCGGGATAGCTCAGTTGGTAGAGCAGAGGACCGAAAATCCTCGTGTCACCAGTTCAAATCTGGTTCTGGCACATGATTATTTTGTATGGGTCTCTCTTCACTAGAATTAATTTCTAATTAATTGATATGAATCAACATACGTATTCTTTTAGAGTCTAGATTAGAATAATAGCTTTATCCAGTTTGTGAGATATACCCCAGCTATGTTCTAGATGGGTAGTGTTTCTGTTCTTAGATAAAGTAATAAAAGAATTGGATTCTATCTCCTCTTTTTCTCCTCTTGTTCAAGCAATTTGAATACGTAATACATATTCGAAAGGTAAAATTGGTTAATTGTTGAAGGCTCAAGGGTCGAATGCGAATCTAGGGGGGTTTGAAATAGGCAAGATTCAGCTCAAATCCAAAGAAATAGAATCCGATATTCTCTCATTTCGTTGTCTTTTCTTTCATATTAGATTTCTTCATTCCGGATTTCTCCATTCCTTCCTATATGCCTTTCTAGAGAACCCGTCTAAGTAATGTGCGCAGTACAAAGTTCATGATGCAGAACTCATTTGGTTCATCCTATTGGTGTGACCCATCCGAAATAAGTATCTTCCAAATAAATGTGAAACCAATGAATCCCTAAGTGTCTTTTTTATTAGCCTATCGATAATTCCCTAAATTAGACCTGCTTAATCTAGAACAGAACGCACAATCCTTCAATATCTGAAATTGTCTAAGTGGAAATAGCTTTCTTATCATTCAATGAGCATCTTGTATTTCGTAAAAATTGGGGGCAATATAATCCTTACGTAAGGGCCATCCTATCCAACTTTCAGGCATTAAGATACGTTTCAAGCGTGGATGATTATCATAAATTCCCGACATATCATATGATTCTCGTTCTTGAAAATCCACACTTTTCAAACCCAGAAAACAAAGACGGAATTCTAGGATTCCTCCTGGAGGCAAATACTTTTATGCATACCTCTTCTGGTTGATCCACACCATCCTCTATTCTTGTAAGATGATACACACTAGCTAACAGCCCGCCAGGCGCTACATCATAGGCACATTGAGAGCGGAATAATTGTGCCCATATACATAAAAAATGACAGCAATGGAATGCCAATCCTCGGGCTTTATTTGTAAAGTCTCTATTCCTTGGTAATCAAAGCCCAAAGATCTATGAATTAGCCCATGCTAGACTAGCCAAGCAGACAGAGCAGCCCTGCATCTTTTTTATCTCTCCCGCATTTTATTTGTATAAGTATTTCACATTTACGATGAAATTTATGAAAATTGACCCACCACTTCTTATTCTGGACAAGGAATCCTGTCTAATTCACTAATTCGGGGAAGATACTGAATTTTTGTATTTGAAAAAGATTTCCGTAGGGATCTCTGAAGTATGGTGGTTGATAAGAACTCTTTGATCATAATTTCCCGTATGAATACTGCGTCGAACATGAAACTTGTGATTGGTAGTAAAACATAGATTACTCGTTGGACTTCTAATTCGATCTTCATAGAGTTCTCGAGATATTTTCTTACGAAGTTTTGTTATAGCATCTATAACCGCTGCCGGTTTAGGTGGGCAACCTGGCAAATATACATCTACAGGAGTGGTTTATCGACTCCCGAACAGTACTATAAGGGTGGTACTGAACATCCCGCCTGTAATTGTACAGGCTCCCATGGCATAATAACATATTTTGGTTCAGGCATTTGCTCATATAATCTCACTAAAAAGAGAGTGCATTTTCATTGTTACTGTTCCGGCTGTTAAGAATTAGATCCGCTTGTCTAGGACTCGATCTTGGTACTAGTCCATAACGATCAAAGTCGAAGCGTGAGCCTATTAGTGAAGCAAATTCAATGAAGCAACAACTGGTACCATAGAGGAAGCGGCCATAAACTGGAGGAGTCTTGACCAATTTGACAGATCATTTAGTAGTTGAAATAACTGAATGTGGGGCTGTTCGATCAAGTAAAACTGAATGGAATTCATAACTGTCTCAATCTTATTTTCCGTTTTTCTTTTTATTGTCTGAATATTCCGAAGGAGCTAAGACTTCATTCCACTGCCCCCTTTCGCCATGCATAAACTAAACCAATGATTAAGATAAGCACGAAAATGAAAGCTTCTATAAATACAGATACACCCAATACGTCGAAACTCATTGCCCATGGATAAAGAAAAACCGTTTCAACATCAAAACAACAAAAACTAGAGCAAACATATAATAACGGATTCGAAATTGTAACCAAGCATCGCCCATTGGTTCTATACCACGACTCATAAGTAGAGAGTTTCTCCGGCCCTTTGCTAATCGGGGCTAACACTCCGGAAATGAAAAATGCCAAAATAGGAACAAGGATGGATATTATTAGAAATGCCAAAAAAATCATATTAGTAAAGCAGAAACATAAACGCACTCCTATGAACGTGGAAAATATACCGGATTCGATTGGTCGATTCGAATTGGAATTGTCAAGTCATCCATAACTATTTAGTAAAAACAAGAATTCATTTTGATCGAACCGCCTAGTTTGCTTTGTTTATTGGTTTATTGTAGGGCATATCTCATTTCAAGATTCATCGACTGGAATCAGATTTTCTTTCCATTATACTTATTTCCATTTTATTTAGTTAGTAGAACCTTCTAACTATATATTACTCTTATACAAATTCTCCTCTTTCTCTTGTTTTTCTCTAAAGACGAGGGAATTCTAAATTAATTCCTTATCTTATTTCTTCTTTAATTAGAGAATTCTTTAAAGATTTCTATTTTTTTAAATAGAATCAGAGGTCTTTATTTTCATTTTTTCTTAGTGATTTAGAATCGAACAAGTAATCAATTATGCAAGAGAATGTATAGGAATTTCCATCTCAAGATTTAGAAGATCTTGTGTTGGTATATTCCTTTTATTATTATTTTATTATTATTTAATAATATTAGGATTCGAATCCAGGTGGAGGGGTTTTCTTGGTTGAATACGCAAAGAAGACTTCCTTTTTGTGTTGTGCTTCCTTCGTCGAGGTAAGTAAGGTATACGAAGGAAAGCCTATTTGACAATGAAAGTGACCAAAGATATTCGTTTTCAAAAACTTTAGCTTGTACACAAATACAACAGGCCCTTCCTAAAATCCATGTGAATTCCTCTTCGTAGTTTTCAGTTCACCAGGCCCGTGAAATGATTTGACTTCCAAAATTCAATAAGATTGGGGATATCAAAAGAAAGGGAGTCTCACTAATTGTTTTATTGTGGATATGAATATATTAATTCGCACTCGAAGATTAATGACGAAAGGTTGGTTTGTTTATCTGTAATTGAAAAAATCAATATTGATTGGATCCATTGATATGCGTTTACTGCTTTCATCTGCTTAAACGATTGCCGTGAACAAACGTAGCAAGATAATTGGATTTCACTTAGTTACAAGCAAGAACTAAAAATGAAAGCTAAAAAATTATACAATTTTTGTTTTTGCCATTTTTATTTTATAGAACTATACGGACTCGAACCGTAGCCTTCTCGGTAAAACAGATCAAACTTATTATTATTAAAATGATCTGAACTGTTTCAAAGACCCAACATGCATTTTTTTGCATTGGGCTCTTTCATTAACTGATATAAATATCAGTTAGTCTGCCATTTTTTGACAGAAAAAGATGATAAGGAAATGGCTCCATGTGCTCTGATTCATTATTTGGGAGCAAAGTGTTTCAAAGGTAGGATTATCTTGACGTAGGTCTGTCTCTGGCCTAGATCAACCTAAGTTAAATGAAGTCTCTATCGTTCTGCTTACAAAATCAAATATGGCTTCATACACCTTAAAGTTCATGTATGACGAAAAGAGATTTTTTGAGGTCCTTATACTCATTATGCCTAGCATTGAATAGACTGGGTAGTCACCTTATCAAGATCTCAAATCACTGATGGGGTCTGTTTGGCACCTCCTAAATGGGCGTCAAATTGGACCGAACCCTTTGTCAGATGGTTCCCTCAAAGTTATGAGTAAGACATCGATTTCTCAACAAGATCAATTTTTTCTGATTGTATGATGAACTCCTTGAAAAACATTGGCGCGCGTGTAAACGGATTGCTCTACCAACTGAGCTTCCTGTACTTAGTGCTTGTGATACATATTTTTATCATGTAGATAAATTCTTGTCAAGATAAATATTCCATGATCCAAATCAGCAATCTTTGATCTCTTTGAATGGTATTCCTTAGATTAGTATTGCTTATAAGTAATATGATATTTATAATCCATCGACAGGATGGGTTTCATTTGGTTCTCTTTGGGATGATAAACCATACTTAACTCAGTGGTGAAATTACTGCTTTCATACGGCGAAGTCATTGGTTCAAATCCAATAGTAGGTAAAACTTATTAGATACCATTGACTCTGGTATCTAATAAGGTTTACGACCCACCTTTAGTGATATTTTATTTTTGATTTTATTCTCTTTCTATTTCATTTTAATTGGAAGTTTTGCATCAGGGTGGATTCTGTTTGATTGTAGTTGATTGTATTCACCCGACAGAATCTAAATAGGATTAGAAAGAGAACTTCTTTTTATTATTCGAACGTACCAACTAGTTATGAAATCGGATTGATAGCCTCCACCCGTGTTCTAGCTCGTCGGAGAGCTAGATTTGCCTCAATTTTTGTCTCCTTCCTTCAGCCTTTTCACGTAGCTTCCGCTATTTCAAGGTTGCTGAGCTTCTTGTGGATGTGCTCACTACCACCTCGCATCATTTACTAAAACAGTGATCTCATTATTGCCTAATCTAGCAAAACCACCCATCAGAGCCATCGTTAACCATTGGGCGTTAAGGCGTATTCTCAAAATCCCTATATCTACAGCTGTGGCAATAGGGCGTGATTTTGGTAATATGTAATTTGACCACCACTATTAGTAGATCAAACGATTTCTTCCACTTCTGACTCCCAAACAATTCGATTAGGGGGTCAGTACACTAAGATTTAAGGTCATTTCTTCAAATTGCTCTCCATTTCTAAGTTCATAGCCTTCGCGGTAGCTTCATCGTGTACCACCAAATAAAAGGACTGTTCAGGAAGACCATCTAATTCTCCGTAAAAGGATCAATTGAAATCTTCGAATTGTTTCCGCTAGACCAGCATATTTCCCTGGAGAACCGGTAAATACTTCTGCTACGAAAAAGGGTTGTGATAAGAAACGCTCAATTTTTCGCGCTCTTGCTACTAGTAAACGATCCTCTTCGGATAATTCGTCCAATCCAAGGATAGCTATAATGTCCTGAAGTTCTTTGTAACGTTGTCAAGTTTCGCCCTTTCTTTGGGCGGTTTCGTAATGTTCCTCACCAACGATCGAGTTGAAGCATGGTTGACGTTGAATCTAAAGGATCTACTGCTGGATAAATACCTTTGGCAAAATCCTCTTGATAGTACGGTGGTAGCATCTAAATGTGCAAATGTCGTAGCAGGAGCAGGGTCGGTCAAAACGTCTGCGGTACATAAACTGCTTGAATAGAGGTTATGGACCACTTCTTTGGTAGAAGTAATTCTTTCATAAAGAACCCATTTCGGTACTTAGGGTCGGTTGACAACCCACAGCGGAAGGCATTCTACCCAATAAGGCCGATACTTCGGATCCTGCTTGGACGAAACGGAAGATAGTGTCAATAAATAGAAGTACGTCTTGCTCATTAACATCTCGGAAATATTTATATGAATTGGGCCAGTCAAACCGCTCTCATACGAGCTCCCGGTGGTTCATTCATCTGACCGTAAACTAGGGCCCACTTTTGATTCTACAATATTTTCTTCATTAATCACTCCAGATTCTTTCATTTCCATGTAAAGATCATTTCCTTCCCGAGTACGTTCACCCACTCCACCAAATACGGATACGCCCCGTGAGCTTTATGAATATTTAATCGAGATTCCATAATGAGTACTGTTTACCCACTCCAGCTCCCCCAGGTGAGTGATTTTCCTCCACGGCGATAAGGGGCTAAAAGATCACTACTTTTAATTCCTGTTTCAAAAATGTAATTTTGTATCCAACTGTATAAAGGCGGGCGCGGATCTATGAAGAGGAGACGTTGTACTAGTATCTACAGGCCTAAATTATCCTTAGGCTCTCCAAACACGTTAAAAATTCGTCCCCAGGAGTCGCTCCCGACCGGAACATATAGGGCTCCTGTGTCAATCACTTCCATTCCTCTCGTTAGACCGTCTGTCGCACTCTTAGCTACAGCCCTAACTCGATTATTTCCTAATAATTGCTGTACCTCACAAGCCACATTAATTGGATTTGATAACACTATCTCGACCTTGAACTACCAGAGCGTTATAAATATTCGGCATCTTGCCGGGAAGAGCTACATCGAGTACCGGACCGATGATTTGGACGACGCCCCGGTTTTTTTCAAGCGTGGAAACCCAGAACCAGAAGTAGTAGGATTGATTCTCTAATAATAAAATAAATAAATATGTCGAAATTTTTTCAAAAGTATCGAATTCGAAATAAATGTCCGCTAGCACGTCGATCAGTTGAATTCAATAAAATGGGAATTAGCACTCGATTTCGTTGACACCATGCAATTGAACCAATTCAATTGTTTACTTATTCAATTAGACTGAGTTAATTTGCAAGCTCACCCAGCCTATTTTAATCAAAAAATATCGTGGATGAATCAGACTCTTGAGAAAGTCTTTCATTGTCTATCGTATAGACAATCCACATCTCATTATCATTCTATAGTCTATGGAATTCGAACCTGAACTTTATTTTCTATTTCTGTTACGATTCCTTATTTGTATCTAATGGGCTCCTCTTCTTATTTATTTTTGATTTAAATTTCAGCATATCGATTTATGCCTAGCCTATTCTTTTCTTTGTGTTTTCTTTCTTTTTTATACCTTTCATAGATTCATAGAGGAATTCCATATATTTTCACATCTAGGATTTACATACAACATATACCGCTGTCAAGGGAAGTTCTTATTATTTAGGTTAGTTAGGTATTTCCATTTCAAAAAAAAGGTAAAAAATAAGGTAGGTTGCGCTATATATATGAAAGAGTATACAATAATGATGTATTTGGCAAATCAAATACCATGGTCTAATAATCAACCATTCTGATTAGTTGATAATATTAGTATTAGTTGGAAATTTTGTGAAAGATTCCTGTGAAAGTTTCATTAACGCGGAATTCGTGTCGAGTAGACCTTGGTGTTGTGATAATTCTTAATTCATGAGTTGTAGGGAGGGATTTATGTCACCACAAACAGAGACTAAAGCAAGTGTTGGATTCAAAGCTGGTGTTAAAGAGTACAAATTGACTTATTGCCTTCCTGAGTACCAAACCAAGGATACTGATATATTGGCAGCATTCCGAGTAACTCCCCACCTGGAGTTCCACCTGAAGAAGCAGGGGTCCGCGGTAGCTGCCGAATCTTCTACTGATACATGGACAACTGCTTGTGGACCGATGGACTTTGCAGTCTTGATCGTTACAAAGGGCGATGCTACCGCATCTGACGTGTTGTTGGAGAAAAGATCAATATATTGCTAATGTAGCTTACCCTTTAGACCTTTTTGAAGAAGGTTCCGTTACCAACATGTTTACTTCCATTGTAGGTAATGTATTTGGGGTTCAAAAGCCCTGCGCGCTCTACGTCTGGAAGATCTGCGAATCCCTCCCCTGCTTATGTTAAAACTTTCAGAGGTCCGCCTCATGGGATCAAGTTGAAAGAGATAAATTGAACAAGTATGGTCTGTCCCCTGTTGGGATGTAGTTGAGCTGAAGAAGTCCTGGGGTTAATTCTCTTCTTTTTTTCTCTTAAATTTCAATTGCTTGTACGATTTCTAGTTGTTTGAAGATGTTTAATTCAAAATTGAGTGGCTAATTCACCTTTGGCTAGGTTGAGGATAACTGCAGTAGTATGTAATTGATGTTATTTCAGTTTTATCTTCTCTAAAATGTTTGTTCTACTGATTCTTGTTTTTTACTACATTAATGATTGGCCATTGTTAATGTATATTAAAATTCAATTTTATTTCCGAAAGGAAGATTATTTGGATGGATATGAATTGGTAGAATATGTTCTTGTCTTGGTTGAGAAATTAAGAGAAGATTAACGTTCAGAATAGAAATATATCTGTAATGTCATATTTGAATGTCATATTTGGTCATCTATGGAATTTAGTTTGGTTTATGAGAATATGAGTTGTTGCATCACATAAATATGTAATGTAAATCTCATAATTCTTTAATTGGTGAGGAGTTTGAAAGACCCAATCCATGTGTGCTAAGCTTAACCTGGGTACCAAGCCCTTTCTGAAACAACTTCCAAAACTAGAGGTAAACTGAGTACCTCTATCTGATATGATGGAAAAGGGTACTCCATGCAACCAAAGTAACTCCCGAATGTATAATTCGGCATAGTCCTCCGCTGAGTCGGTAGTTTTGACCGTTAGGAAATGAGCTGCTTTAGTCAACCTCTCTACAACCATCCAAATAGAGTCATACTGTCGATGAGTACGAGGTAACCCTATAATGAAGTCTATATTGATTTTTTTCCACTTCCATATAGGAATACTAATGTATTGAAGCATACCTCCAGGTCTTTGATGCTCAACCTTCACTTGCTGACAATTTCGACACTTAGCCACAAACTCCGCAATGTCCTTCACGTTGTTCCACTAATAGACTTCTCATAGGTCACGATACATCTTAGTGGCACCTGAATGTATGGAATATCGAGAACCATGAGCCTCATGCAACATTCGATATCTGAAGTCATTAACATTTGGGACACACAAACAACACTGATCTCGAAGCACACTATCTCCCCTTTGGGAAAAGATCTCCACCTTCTAATTCTGAACCGCCTCCTTCAACTTTATCCAAATCGGATCCTCATCTTGTCTATACTTGACTTCATCCACCAAAGAGCATTCTGAACCATTCTAAACAATGATACCACTATCTGTCAAACTAATAAGACGAACTTCTAACTGTCCAAGCTGATGCACATCCTTCACCAACTCTTTCTTTTCCTCCTCCACATGAGACACACTCTCTATGGATGACCTGCTAAGAGCATCCGCCACTACATTGGCCTTGCCCGGATGATAAATGACGCTCATGGTATAGTCCTTGAGAAACTCTAACCACCTTCTTTGTTGAAAATTCAGATCCTTCTAGGTAAACACGTACTGAAGACTCTTATGGTCTGTGAGCACATCTACATATACCCTATACAAGTAGTGCCTCTAAGTATTCAATGCGAATACCACTGTTGCCAATTTCAGGTCGTGCATTGGCTAATTTTTCTCATGAGTCTTAAGCTGTTTAGAGGCATATGCAATGACTTTGTCATGCTGCA